TGGCTGGGGCATCCCCGGAGGGGAATTCCTCACCGTGACCGTAAGTCCAGTCCGCCCACTGCCAGAAAAAGGAGGCCCCCGGCTGCCGCCAGAGGGAACCCCAGATCTAGGTAGTGGCACGGGCACTCCGCCCCCTTGCAGGTAACGGAGTCTGGTCCGCAACTCCGAGATGGTCATACCCCCGCAATGGGAGAATGAGTCATCCACGAAAGCCACCTCAGCGTGCTTCGTGCCCAGACACGAGAGGCAGCGATCGTGACCATCACCCGGCGCCAGGTAACGACCGCACCCAGAAACACACAGATGGTACGACATCTTTAAAAAGACGCGTCTTTAAAAAGACGTTCCACCCGTGAAGCTCTTTTAGATGGAAATTGCTCTTTTAGTGTGCTGAAGCGCACAGGGGAGATGGCCGTCTGCAACACACACAGGGGTAGTGCAGCCTGTTGTGTGCAACCCACTCGACACGGGAAAACCACCGCCGCTGAAGCGCCGTACCACCAGCACGAGAGCCCACGAAGAGCGTGCTTGACTGTAGTTTTTACTACCGTAGAAGGTCAGGAGCAGAACGATAGAACCACTCGGCTCCGAAGCGAAAAGCTGAATATGCGCTGCATCTGCTGCCTACTTATACTCACGCTGTGATCAGCAGCAGCTGGATGCAATAATTGCATGCCAATGTGCATTGGCTCGTTTAGTTTACACTCGAAGTAGATTGGTCTCTCTAAGCAAGATCCCAATTCGTCGGTCATAAGTAACCTGAGATGTTTTTTTTCTACATTTTTGCTGTCACACCATAGGACACATTTACGGTATATTTGTCAACTACCCATATATGTTCAAAGCTGCAAAGCAACTTTGTATAACTGCAAAAAGTCAACTTATCAGCTAAAGAAGGAAACTACCATATTCCACACAATTCTTAAAAAAAAAAATAAAAAAAATGGAACGAGAACCCAATTTGTTATGTCCCAAATGAGTATAGGGATATAGGGGAACATAACAAATTAGAAGTTTAAAAGAGCATTAGTCTGAGCCCTGCAACAACCAAACAAATTAGCATCAATAATTTTATTTACCATTCGTGTAACAGAGACTAGGCATTGGTAAAATTAAGTGAAGTGAAGTGACGAGTGGCCAAGTATGGTGACCCATACTCCGAATTTGTGCTCTGCATTTAAACCATCCAAGTGCACACACACAGTAGTGAACACACACACACACACACCGTGAACACACACCCGGGGCAGTGGGCTGCCTTTTTTCTGTGGCGCCCGGGGAGCAGTTGGGGGTTCGGTGCCTTGCTCAAGGGTCTCACCTCAGTCATAGTATTGAGGGTGGAAGAGAGCAGGGGCGGACTGCAGCCAAAAAGTGTCCCTGGACTTTTTGGCACAGAGCGGCCCACCAAACCTGGTCCACAACACAACACACTGCACCACACCATAAATGACTGGCATTCTTTAAATTATAACTTGTCTTTCCTGGTGTATATGGCAAATAGTAAATATTTTAAAAGATTTTTTTACGAGGGACAGTTTAATATCACTAAAGTTAAATACCAATATTATCAGTCCATATGACACAATGCTCTGGTATCGTATAGAAGACTTGAATAGTGCAGAAGGCGGACTGTTTTTATGGTGCCTTTCTATTGGTGATATACATTTATTTGTACTTTTGCAGGAGTTTGACATCTATCATTTTAAGGAATAGAGCTCCAATTGTGGAAAAGAGTATACAAATTATTTTGATGATGAAAAATACAGTAAACTACTGTGAAATGTATGTTACCATTTAAAATTAGCTGTCTTCTATGCAAATATATAGTAAAATATAATTTATTGCTGTGATCAAAGCTGAATTTTCAGCATCATTACTCCACACTTCAGTGTCACATGATCCTTCAGAAATCATTCTAATATGTTGATTTGCTGCTCAAGAAACATTTCTGATTATTATGAATGTTGAAAACTGTTGTGCTGCTTCATATTTTTGTGGAAAATGTGATACCATTCAGTCTTGGGTAAGATTAAAAAAATAAAAATTAATATTTTTCTTCAACAAGGTTGCATTAAATTGATTTAAGTGACAGTAAAGATATTTACACATATTACGAAGTACTTAAATTTAAAATAAATGCTGTTCTTTAACTGATAATGATTAAACAGCAAATTAAGCAGCATTAAAATGATTTCTGAAGGGACACTGAAGACTGGAGTAATGATGCTGAAAAGTCAGCTTTGATCACAGAAATAAATTACATTTTAAAATATCCTAAATAGAAAACCACTATTTTAAGTGTAATATTTCATAATATTATTGTTTTTACTGTATTTGTCATATTTTTTCAAATAAATACATAAATAAAAAGCCTTATGTCATACTTTTAACCACCATTGTGTAGGCTATATAATATAATGCATGTGAATTAATAAGCAAATTATATTTTTATTAGGCCTATAATATAAATAACTTTCCTATGCACAGCACTCGAAAGCAAAAGTCTTCAGATTTACAATGTTCTAGAGTAAGATTGAGAATGATTTTTACAGATTATTAAACATTTTCTTAGACACGTGAAATCATGGAAGAAAGCCTTTCTAGAGATATAGCTACATTAACTCTTATCTCATGTCTTCTGAAAACTGCTAATATGTACATTGTGACGAAAAACGTAAATTACATTAAAATCTGAGAAATTTGAAAAGGCCAGTAGTAATTTGTATTCCTGAAAATTAATGTCTGTCGTTTAACTTTTTTTTTTTTCTTAAACGGTTGGCTGAATATTGCTGAACTGTCTCGTCATGTTTAGCTGCTTATATCTTACCTCAGCTCACATTCAAGTTGCGCGCAGCTCAGCGTCTGTGAACAGTAAATGTAAAAAAACAGTACAAATGCAGAAAGTTTTGTGTGAGGGGTAGGTTTAGGGGTAGGGTTAGTATAAGGGGATGGAAAATATAGTTTGTATAGTATAAAATAATTATGTCTGTGAAATGTCCCCATAAAACATGGAAACCCAATGTTTGTGTGTGTGTGTGTGTGTGTGTGTGTGTGTGTGAGAGAGGTTTATCAAATAAAAACCACTTCACTAAGTATAATACTGCTCTACAAATCAAGTGTGCACAAGAGTGCACTTATAATAGTTTAAAGAAATACACACAGGCTATGGACATCTTTAGCATGTTTTTAATTTAAATAAGCTACCATCTGCTGCAGTTGTTTCCAATGAAAATAATCACTATTAACATAAAGTCATTAACGTAAAATTGACACATTAACTTTTAATTAAATGTTATTCACGTCAGCTCTGTTTTACATTTATTACAACCATTCACATACCACCATTAAAATTAAATTAAATCTGCCATCATGACATCTCTTTATTTACTTATAAATTATTATTATTTATTTATAAAACTATTTATTTAGCTTAACTAGCAACATAAAAACCTACAACATATAGAATAGTAATTGAGCTAACAAATGTAGTTGACAGATTGTTTTTTTTAACCAAATTTTGAAATGGTTAATTGTCCTCATACTGATAATTTTTTCATACAAGGATTACGTTCTGAAAGGTGCTAAGGTCAACATTTGCAGGGTCTGCACCATACTGGGAAAATATCCTTTGTCATCTGCTTTCCCAGGGTTTCTCTTTTGCTTTAATGCTTGAGGCCTCCTTTACTCTTCTGGTTATAGAGTTTATCAGAGTAATTCTGGGCATATCTGAAACATATATTCCATAAATGTACCCATGTACATTTATGGCAATTATTATTTCTGAATGTATCAAAATGTTTAGTGACCATCTGTTATTTTCTATCTGATGTGAAATTACCCATATTTAAATCATGTTATTTGTTGTAAATCTTCCCCATCATATGCTGCTTTGTATTTTGTTCAGGCTTACACATGATTATATAACATTTCGGTGCAAATATGCAAAATAGTAAACCGAAGCTTGAAGCTAAAATTGCAAATATTTCCACAGCTACAGTTAATTTTCCAGGGGAGCTAACATAAGATGGGATAAATGTGATCCATACAGCACAGAATATAAGCATACTGAATGTAATGAATTTTGCTTCATTGAATTTATCAGGCAGTGTGCGAGCCAGAAAAGCCATAATAAAGCACAAGACAGCCAATAGGCCAATATAACCCAGAACAGCAGAAAAACCTATAGTAGAACCCAGACTGCACTCGAGAATAATCTTTTCTTTGTAATATTTCTTATTTTTGTAAGGGAATGGAGGAGATATTGTTAGCCATAGTACACAGATAAAAATCTGTATAAGTGTAAAGACAAGAACACTGAGTCGTTGTTGTGCAGGCCCAAACCATTTCATGACATTACTTCCTGGAAGTGTCGACTTGAAGGCCATTATCACAACTATTGTTTTCCCCAGAACACAGGAGATACAGAGGACAAAAGTGATTCCAAACGCAGTGTGACGCAACATACAGGACCACTCAGTGGGCTGACCAATGAAAGTAAGTGAACAGAGGAAACACAGAATCAATGAGAAGAGCAGCAGGAAGCTCAGTTCTGAGTTGTTGGCTTTTACTATGGGGGTGTCCTTTTTGTTGTAAAACAGTACAGCTACCAGCGCAGTTATTCCTACTCCAAAGAGCGAGAAAAAGACTAGCACTATACCCATAACTTCTGTGAATGACAGAAACTCTACAGCCTTTAACACACATTTATTTTTCTCAGCATTAGACCAGTATTCCCCTGGACACTGCTTGCAGTTATTTGAATCTGGAAAGGAAGTTGTGATCACTATAGTTATTAACAATAAATAAATAAATAATTTATGAACACTTTAAGTCATTGCATGCAGAAACTGCAAAAAGAAGGAATAAAAGAGAGAAGGAAATAACCTATTTTCCTTTAAACTGAGATGTGCTAAAGATTACCTGTCTCATTACTGATTTCTCCTTCTGCACATGGAATACAGTCATAACAGCAGACAGGTCTTCCTTTCTGTGCAGTATACTGTATATATCAGTAGCGAACCGTGACTTTTGAGAAGTCTAGAAGAGGCTATTCCAGCCTTAATGCAGTCACATACCGGACGAGAAGCACAGTGCTGGGCCACACCATGTTTATTTTTCTCAGCATTAGACCAGTATTCCCCTGGACACTGCTTGCAGTTATTTGAATCTGGAAAGGAAGTTGTGATCACTATAGTTATTAACAATAAATAAATAAATAATTTATGAACACTTTAAGTCATTGCATGCAGAAACTGCAAAAAGAAGGAATAAAAGAGAGAAGGAAATAACCTATTTTCCTTTAAACTGAGATGTGCTAAAGATTACCTGTCTCATTACTGATTTCTCCTTCTGCACATGGAATACAGTCATAACAACAGACGGGTCTTCCTTTCTGTGCAGCCTTCCTAGTGCCTGGAGGACAGCTCTCACTGCACACAGACCTTGGTTTCTACATAGAAAAATGTGTTGCATATTATTAGATGCAGAATAAATATATTTATAGTTTATCTTTTTTATTTTCTTTTTATCTTTTATTTATTTATTTAAAAGTTTCAATGTTGAATTCCTATGTGCACTGGGAGCTATTAGGGGCTCGTGGACAGTAATATTTTTTTTTTTTACAAAAATAATAACTTTCAAAGAAATCCAGCACCATTACTGCCATAGTAATGTGCTTTCGTTCTTTTGCTCACCAATGCCCTCTGCTGATGCTTCTGTCTATTTGTCTCTTTGATCAAATCTCACCTGACCTTTTTGCTCTGGATTTACATTGCCAGTAAACAATACAAATACATTGTATACAAATTAGACTACTAAACTAAATTATTTTTACTGGCCACAGGAATTAATGATATATATATATATATATATATATATATATATATATATATATATATACTGTATATA